GAGGGTTTGTGGTTCTGCTTAAGTTCTTGTGTAGTTGAAGTGTTTTTTGGCCAGCAATGGAAGTCACTGTTTCTGAGCTGCATCCCAACTTGCAGCCCAATAGGCTGCATGTTAAAAGAATCACTTGGCATTCAGTTATGACTCTACTAATAGGAAGATGATTTTCTTTTGGAATACTGCATGGCCACAATTCACTTTAGTGTCAGAAGCACAGATTGCAGGTCTGTGGCACAGGTGCATCTGCCTCTTAGAAATTTAAAATTCGGGGCACCTGGGTGGCTCAGTCATTGGGCGTCTGCCTTTGGCTCAGGTCATGATCCCAGGGTCCTGGGATGGAGTCCCGCATTGGGCTCCCTGCTCCGCGGGAAGCCTGCTTCTCCCTCTCCCACTCCCCCTGCTTGTGTTCCCTCTCTCGCTGTGTCTCTGTCAAATAAATAAATAATATCTTAAAAAAAAAAAAATTAAAATGCTTCACAGTGTGGCCCATTTGAATGCTTGATGCATTCTGTAGATGAGATTCTGAATGAATCCAAACACAAAAAGGACATTAGCTCCTCTCACTAGCGGGTGGCAGAGTAAACTTCAGCACCCAGCAGCCATCCCACAGAGATTCCCACTCGTGATACAAATAATTTAGGTGCTGCATCAGGGGAAATACAGAAGAATCAGCCCCTCAGCATGCTGAGCACTTTCAATTTAGTCAGGCTAACTCCAGAGAAAACCAAGACCCAAAATACAATCCACCATCTCCAGGGTGACACCTGAAGGAGCAAGATGACTCTAATTAGCACATTCAATCATAGCTAAAACATATGATGACATAAAAATTAAGATTAGTCATTGAGAGTTTCTGAATTTGGGGGGAATCAGGATGGGAGAAAACAAGTATTTCCATTTGTTTGCAAAGGTATATTTTGTGCAAGTGCTGCAAGTCAGGTGATCTAAAACAAAAAGTTTCTTAAATCTGTAAAACACAAAATACTTTTTAAGGTTTTTTTCTTTACATTCTTAGTTAACATACAAAGTAATATTTTAGGTGTACAATAGTGATTGTACAATTCCATATAACATTTCGTGGTCATCACAGGGGCAGTCCTTAATCCCCATCACTTATTTAATGCATCCACCTACTCACATCCATTCTGGCAACCATCAGGTTGTTCTCTAAAGTTAAGAGTCTGTTTCTTGGTTTGCTTCTCCATTTCTTTTTTCTTTCCCGTTGGTCACTTGTTTTCTTTTTTGAATTACAAATATGAGTGAAATCAGGGGCGCCTGGGTGGCTCAGTCATTAAGCGTCTGCCTTCGGCTCAGGTCATGAACCCAGGGTCCTGGGATCGAGCCCCGCATCAGGCTCCCTGCTCTGCGGGAAGCCTGCTTCTCCCTCTCCCACTCCCCCTGCTTGTGTTTCTGCTCTCGCTGTCTCAGTCAAGTAAATAAAATCTTTAAAAAAAAAATTTTTTTTTAAATATGAATGAAATCATACGATACTTGTCTTTCTCTGACTTAATTTCACTTGGCAGAATACTCTCTAGCTCCATCCATGTTGTGGCAAATGACAAGATGTCATTCCTTTTAGGGTGATAAATATTCCCTTCTATATATATATATATATCCTTCAATATTCCCTCCTATATATATATATATATATAATCTTCTTTATTCATTGAGGAGTCAATGAACACTTTAGCTGGACTGTTTGAAGCAAAAAGACTCACTGACTCTCACTGTTGAACTGTGCCTCCAACAAATCCTTGCCATGCAAAGAGCCAGAGCATGGAACTATACTCATTATGGCGCTGAGGAAAGGGAAGAAGGTTCCACAGAGCAGTGAAGCAGCTTCCCTGAAAGATCACCCAGTGGCTCTTACCTTGACTGGGGTTATCTACCTGGGAAACAAGTGCTTGGGTGCAACCATGGCACATGACTTGCTGATCTGGCCTATTCCACTGTCTAGAAGGCTTCTTCATCTCAAACATCTATTCTACCATGTGACATTTTAAAACTATGCCCAAATGACTGCATCATCCAATACCCTCCGCCATCCCTTGTCACGGATCTAGGCCTGGGAAAATACAGTAATCGTTGACATCCAAAAGCATTAGTCCTCAGCAAGACACAGGAGATCAATCAAATCATCAAGATAAAGCAGGAATTCCCTAACTCCTGAGAAACGCACATTTGCCAATTCCTTTTCCCCATTACATGTATTTATTAGATAACATCACCAAGAGCTGCCTGTGCCTTTGCAGTGACTAAAAGGAGCCCCTCTGGGTCCCTCCCCACATTGTAAAGACTTCTTTACATTTCCTAATAATAGGTCTTATCTTTCTAAGGATGGTGCCTTCATCAAATTTTACTTAAGATTCACATCCCACATCCCCGTGCTAAATGTCTGAATTAATACCCATTGGCCCTCCATCTCTCTAGTCTCAATTAAGTGTTTACTGAGGACACTCTCTCCACAACACAGGCAAAAAAAGAATGGTTGTAGTGCCTATGTAGCTGGAAACAAAAATGAGGAAAAATATAACTGGAGATCTGGAGAGAACTAGGAAATAAAACAAGGAGAAGTTATTTTTCTATATCCAGGGAGTCAGTTGGGCAACTCAGGACAGTTGTCCTCCTCCACGTGCTAATTCTTCATCTTAAATATTTTCTATCTCTTACCTGGGCTACCGTATCACTCCTATTGGGATGGATTTCTCTTTCTTATGGGGTATCTATTACACACGTAGCATGGTCATATGCACATGTGTACTTCATAGACACAGTGAAACAATTCAATGAATAAAGTGGGGCACATACTTTAATTTGGGGCCATGGTGCAATGCTTTAGAGTCCCAAGGCTAAGTTCAGAATATACCATTCCAGCTAAAACAGGTTTAGGGAAGTTCTGTGGGAGTCTTCTCTAAGGGACACAGAGGGAAAGCATTGGGAGAAAGGAGAGATGGTGGCTCACAAGGACAGATTGCAGATGTGATACCAGAAGTTCCATTAACTCGTGACTCTGCAGCGTGTTGTCTCGGGAATGCACTAGTGAGAAGGGCTCCTGTCAGTGCAAGGCCCCTGCAAAACTACTGGCTACACAAAATGGATGCCAAGTAGCAGTATCATGGAGTATGTGAGCTAAAACATCAACAATACCTCTTATGTTACATACCTCTGTAATATACCCATAATAATATCATAGTATTCACGAAGAGGAGAAAATCGTGTGATAGACTAGGGGAAAAATAATCACACATCATTTAAACGTTGAGACCACCAAGGAAATGGATTCCTAGGTATATTATTCTACTCCATTACCAAACAGGTGATTGATTCCATCCGCCACCCTCAACCCTCAATGAGAGAGGTTAACACTGGAGGTAGGATAACATGTCATTCATTACACATCCATGTCAATACGTTAAAAACCATTATATTTTCTTAATGAAAATATATTAATTTCACACGTAGACTAATTTATGCATTTCAAATCCACTCTATTATCACCATTTAAAATACAGAATACACATGTGAGAAAGCATTCGAGTGCTGTTAGAAGGATGTGGGAGTACTTAATTCCAAAAATTTCAAGACTGAGGTAAATTCTTAAGAAGCTATATGTACAACAGTTTGGCATTGTAGGGAAGAGTTAACTATCCTCTTCGGGTTTCCGTCAGGATTTCTTCATTTCAACCACATCAACTCATACTCTCTAATGATTGCACTTATGAATATACATTGGTAGTTTACTGGACTGACACCTCTTTTTCCTTAAAGAACAATTAGTAAAACCTTGTATTTCTAATATTGAGGAAGTTCTTTAGTTTTAATATATGGAGAAGCATGTGCTCTGAACACCTATTTCATGGTATCTAACATCAATGTTATAACCATATGCAGCATCTCCATTGAGATATACTTCATATGTTGTATATTATACTGTCCATCTTCCATGGAAAATTAGGTATGCATGAGTCCCACCTAATATAGCAGGGCATCTAATATCTTTGATTTAGCAACAACCTGCCACATGGCCTTATACCCAATGGAATAAAAGAATTTTCTGAAGTGATTTCAGAGTAAAATACATTAATATTGTTAGTCACAAATCTCGAATAGGGTTGATGAAAAAATAAAAAACACATATTATACATATGTAAAAGTCCATCCACTAAATCTGTTGAAACACAATAGCATACACATTTTCTAAATGTTTAAGTGTGATTATTCCTTATAACTATTTTCATACAGAGTGATGTCTGAATAGAATGACTAATGTATTCCTTTTACTTGATTTCTGTGACATTTATTGGCATTTGATGTTCAACTAAATAGTTTTCTAAACATTGACATCTTTCAATTTACTTTCTTTAATGCACTCTCTGGTGTATGCTCCAAGCCAACCTGTGATGCCTTGGCGAGTCCCCCGGGCCTGGGAGTTGAGGTTGTGGTTCAGGGTGAATGTTAGGCTTAGGTCTTTCTGAAGGTCTTTCTACATTCCTTATGTTCCAAGGGATTGAGTCTAGGATGCATTTTGTGATACTAAGGATTGAATTCCAGAAAAGGCTCGTCCATTTTCTTTACATTTTACAGTTTTGCTCCTATATGATAACTATGATGTTAAGTACGTTGGGAGATCCAGTGAGAGGTTGGACACATTTTTTAATATTTGTATAGGTACTCTCTTATATGAAATCTCTGATATGGAGTAAGGAGGGAGCAGTCCTTAAGTGTTTTCTCACATTCCTTACATTTGTAGGTTTCTCTCCAGTATGAATTCTGTGATGTCCAGTAAGGGTTGTTTGCCTGCTAAAGGCTTTGGCACATTCTATTAATTTGTCAGGTTTCTTTCCAGGACGAATTCTATGTTTAGTAAGGTGTGCATGCTAGTCAATGGCCTTGCCACATTTGTTGTATTTGTAAGGTTATTGTCCAATATGAATTCTTTGATGTGCAGTAAGGGGTGAGCACTCCTCAACCATTTTCTCACATTCTTTACATTGGTAAGGTTTCTATCTAGTATGAATTTTATGATGTTTAATAAGCATTGAGTGCCTGTAAAAGGGCTTGCCACATTCTGGACATTTGTAAGGTTTCTCTCCAGTATGAAATCTGTGTTGAGTGAGGTATGAGTGCCCGTTGAAGGCCTTTCCACAATCTTGACATTTGTAAGGTTTCTCTCCAGTATGAATTCTGTGATGTTCAGTAAAGTCCAAGGGCCAATTAAAGGCCTTGCCACATTCCTGACATTGGTAAGGTTTCTCTCCAATATGAATTCTGTGATGTTGAGTGAGGTCTGAGGGCTTGTTAAAGGCCTTGCCACATTCTTGACATTTGTAAGGTTTCTCTCCAGTATGCATTCGGTGATGTTTAGTCAGGGTTGAGCATGATATAAAGGCTTTGGCACATTCTTTGCATTTGTAAGGTTTCTGTCCAGTATGAAGTCTGTGATGTTGAGTGAGGTGTGACTGCCGATTAAAGGCCTTTCCACAATCTTGACATTTGTAAGGTTTCTCTCCAGTATGAATTTTGTGATGTTCAGTAAGTTTTGAGGGCCACTTAAAGGCCTTGCCACATTCTTGACATTTGTAAGGTTTCTCTCCAGTATGAATTCTCTGATGTCCAGTAAGGTTTGAGGGCCACATAAAGGCCTTACCACATTCTTGACATTTGTAAGGTTTTTCTCCAGTATGAATTCTCTGATGTCGAGTAAGTTTTGAGGGCCACTTAAAGGCCTTACCACATTCTTGACATTTGTAAGGTTTCTCTCCAGAATGAATTCTGTGATGTCGGGTAAGTTTTGAGGGCCACTTAAAGGCCTTGCCACATTCTTGACATTTGTAAGGTTTCTCTCCAGTATGAATTCTGTGATGCTGAGTAAGGGTTGAGAGTCTGTTAAAGGGCTTTCCACATTCTTGACATTTGTAACGTTTCTCTCCAGTATGTATTCGGAGATGTTCGGTCAGGGTTGAGCATGATTTAAAGGCTTTGGAACATTCCTTACATTTGTAAGGTTTCTCTCCAGTATGAAGTCTGTGATGTCGAGTGAGATGTGAGTGCCGGTTAAAGGCCTTTCCACACTCCTGACATTTGTAAGGTTTCTCTCCACTATGAATTCTGTGATGTTCAGTAAGGTTTGAGGGCCACTTAAAGGCCTTGCCACATTCTTGACATTTGTAAGGTTTCTCTCCTGTATGAATTCTGTGATGTTGAGTAAGGCTTGAGAGCCTGTTAAAGGTCTTTCCACATTCTTTACATTGATAAGGTTTCTCACCAGTATGCATTCGGTGATGTTCAGTCAGGGTTGAGCATGATTTAAAGGCTTTGGCACATTCTTTACATTTGTAAGGTTTCTGTCCAGTATGAAATCTGTGATGTTTAGTGAGGTGTGAGTGCCGGTTAAAGGCCTTTCCACAATCTTGACATTTGTAAGGTTTCTCTCCAGTATGAATTCTGTGATGTCGAATAAGTTTCGAGGGCCACTTAAAGGCCTTGCCACATTCTTGACATTTGTAAAGTTTCTCTCCAGTATGGATTTGCCTATGTACATTTATTGATGAACAGTCCTTAAAGGTTTTATCACATTCTTCGCATTTGTATATTTTTTCTCCAGTATGCATTTGCTGATTTTGAGATAGTGTTGAGTGGCAGTCAAAGGATTTACCACATTCCTTAAAAATGTAAGTTTTCTCTCCCCCAGGGATTATCTTATTTATATTTAGCCTTGATGACTGACTAAACATGGTCTCTGGTTTATTGCATCTGAATGGGTTTTTTCCTTCATGAATTCTCTGAGGATCACCAATACTGGAGGACTGGTTAAGAGCTTTCCCACATTCATTATACTTATGAGGATTATCTCCCAAAGGGAGACTCTTATGTATAATATGGTTAGAGCTCTGATTAAAGCCTTCCCCACATTTACGACATTCATAATGGTTCTCTGGAGACCAAGTCCTCACACATCTATGAACGTTGGAACCCTGGTTAAATGTTTTCTCAGATTCACTGCATTGAGCAATTCTGTCTCCATTGAAAAGGCTCTGGTAATTCTGTAGGGTCGACTCCTCAGTGATACACCTCTCATATGAATCTGACTTAGCACTTTGTTCTTCATTTCCAAATCTCTGATTATCAGAAATATTTGACTGAAAGGTCAAGCCAATCCTATCTTCAAAATGGTTCAAATCATTATTTTCAGCATGGACTAAATAACTTTCCAGATTTTCCAAATGGTCTGTCCACAAAGATGTATGTTTGAATATTCGATTGGAGCTTTTGCTTACAGAAACACACTGCTTTGCAGAAACAGTTGACTTAAAAAGGGAGGTTTTCCACAATGTTTTATATCCTTCACCATTTGGGGCAGTGAGATTCTTATTAAGGGCAATTGCCTTGGTTTGGGTATAGCCTCCAGGAAATCTCTGATGCCCTTCACTCTCCCCATCATTGTCCCAGTCTGTACTTAAGTGTAAAATCTCAAAAGTACTATTTTGATATCTATGCATTGATACTTTTTGGAAAGAACCTTCTATGCTCGGCTTTAGCAGGAAACTCTGGATGTCATGTGATGATGAAGCTGAAAGATATCAAATAAAAGTAAAACCATTGCACTTACTACTTTCAGATGAATATACTAAGGACTTCTAAGATAGAAGCTTCATGTCAATCAGACAATGTCAGAAAGATGGCTGAGAAGGAATCATCAGGACTTTATCCCTCTATGGACACATAACACTGCATACAACATACTAACCACATGTCTTAACAGATAATTCTGTGTTATTGTCATGGTGTAGCACAAATCACTTTCCTATATCTCTAATAATCAGGAAAAGTGTCACATGAGCACAAAATTAGTAGAAGGATGGATATTTAAACAGAAAAGTGAAATGAACCAAATAGGATATAGTAAAAATAGGAATATATCAAACATAGGAAGAGTTGTTTGTCAGGAAAGATCAACAATATTGACAGCCCATAACTAAATTAAGAATAAAAGAGAAAAGACCAACTAAAATGAGAGGTGAAGAAGTGAAAGCAGACACAGTATAACTGACCATAGGAATAAAAGTAATTATAAGGCGATGATGGATAATCAGTGCCCACAAACTGATACCAAAAGAGGAGTATAAATTTCAAAAAAGGTATAACCAATTTAGACTCCATCATTCAGAAATATAAAAAAGATCACTAATGATCTACAACCATGAAGCAGAATGAAAGAGGAATAAAAACGAAAACAAACAAACAAAAACTCCCAACAAAGAAAAGTCTTGGGGCGCCTGGGTGGCTCAGTCATTAAGCGTCTGCCTTTGGCTCAGGTCATGATCCCGGGGTCCTGGGATCGAGCCCCTCATTGGGCTCCCTGCTCAGCGGGAAGCCTGCTTCTCCCTCTCCCACTCCCCCTGCTTGTGTTCCCTCTCTTGCTGTGTCTCTGTCAAATAAATAAATAAAAACTTTATTAAAAAAAAAAAATCGTGTGCCAGATGAATTAATTGGATATTCAAACAGACACTTAAGGAGAAAGTACTTCAAATCTCCTCAAACATTTCCAAGGAGTGAAGATAAGAAAAATCAGCAAAACACTCTCTCTGGGTTACAGGCATTACCAGGTCATCCAAGCCAGAAGAATACTCTACAAGTAAAGAAGTTTACAAATTACTACCTGTGAGGAATATTCACTCAAAGTCCACAATAAAATAGAGCAAACTGAATCAAAAGCACATTTTTCCATTTTATAAGATAATCAAGTAGGAAATCATCCTGGAATTAAGGGTGTTACAACATATGGAAAACCATTTTTTGAAGACTCCACATTAACAGAATGAAGATTAAAAATGACATGATCATGTTAAGTGAGACAGAATACAAATATGGGCACATTGGACAACATGTCATGTTAAAATCACAATAGGTAGAGAGAGAAGGAAACCCCTTCAACCTAATGCCATAGATGTAGGAAAAGCTGCAACCTAACCTATTCAATAGTAAAAGACTGCAAGCTTCTCCTCTCTGATCAGAAACAAGATAAAGAAGTGACCACACAACTGCCTTTGAATATAGTACTGGATATTCTAGACAGAACAATTATGCATCCAAAAATACATAAAAAGAATCCAAACTGAAAAAGAAACAGTAAAATTATCTCTGTTCACAGATGACATGATTATAGAAATCCCTAAAAAAACTAATTTTAATGTTTTTACTGTTTTATCATTGTTTGTATTGTTTATTTCTGCACGTTTTTCCCTACTAGACTTCCCATTTTCAATTTTTTTTATATTATACAGTATAAAGATAAATGTTGGCATAAACATCTTCCACCAGAAGAACTAGAAAAGGAAGAAACTTAGATGAAATTTAGTAGAGGAATGAAATAACAAAGAAAAATCTGAAATAAAATAGATACCAGATTAACACTAACAGAACATTGAAAGTAATGTCCATTTTAACCAACAAAACAAATGAAACTGGCGATGGTTTACCATTATATACTAATAAGGTAATTTAGAAAAAAAACAGATAATTCCTAAAAATAGACAAGTTATTAAGACTGAATTACGAACCTTGAACCAAAGAAATGGGAAATCTTCTTGGACCAATAACAAGAATGAACGTTGAATTTGGAATCAATACTCTCCTAACATAGAAAAGCCCAAGACCTAGGAATCTTACTACATTTTAGGGAGTCAATGGGTTACTAAATCAAATCCTGTGTTGCATGATTCTTCTCTCTCCCTCTCTTGTTCAGACTCAGTATTTTCCTTTATTTCACCTTCTATATGACAAAGTCATTCTGCTTTTTCTACCCTACTCTTTACATCAAGCCTGTTTCTATTCTCACTTATTGCATTGTTCATCTGCTTGATTTTTTAAAAAGATTTATATATTTGAGAGAGAGAGAGAAAGAGAGAGAGAAAGATCTCAAGAGTACGAATGGGATCTGCAGAGGGAGAGGGAGAAGGGAAGGGAGAAGCAAGCAGTCATCAGACTGAGTGCAGAGCCTGACTTGAGGCGGATCGCAGGACCCTGAGATCAAGACCTGAGCAGAAACCAAGAGTCAGTGGCTTAACTGAGTGAGTCACCCAAGCACCCCAATTATTTTTTAACTCTTATCTCTGTGGTAAAGATCTCACTATTCTTTTCTCAACCCTCTGAGTATCCTTATGATTGTTGCCTTAATTCTCCATCAAGCATGTTACTCGCATCTGTTTCCATGATACCTCTGGCCTTGGCCTTATCTGTTTTGTTTGGGATAAATTCTTTCATCTTGGCATTTTGTCCAAGTCTCTACCTTCCTCTGTGTGTTAGAAAAGCCAGTGATGTGTCCTGCTATGGGCAGTGTTTGGTGCCTGGCCTGAATGTGGCCAGTTTTAACTAGGTGAGCTCTGGCCTGCTTGTGAAAGGACACCTGACATCAACCCTACCAGAGCTCAGGCCCGACAGAACTCTCTGCTCAGATGTGACGTGGGCAGGGGCCCACGTTGCTGAGCCTGGGGCAAGCCTCACTGAGATGGGTAGTCCCAACAAATCACAGGGGGGTGAGGCTTGGTTCAAGCAAGGCAGACAGCCAGTGTCCTCACTGAGTGGGGCTCTGTGTTTATCCTACAGGGCAGGAGAGGGAATGGTGCCATCCAACTCCCGTGTTTTTGGAGACACATCTCACTAAATGTTTCCTCTCAGGAAAGTGCTCCTAGACTACTGAATATTCTCCCAACCGTGTGCCCCAGGTGTTCTTTAGATGGCTGTTTCCACGTTGTCTGCCTCTAGGTTGTTTGCCTGCCTTCTCTCCAGGAGCACAGTGACCTCTTGACTCTATCTCATCCAAACCTGCTGACTATTAAAACTTCAGGCTTTAAGACATGCGAGTTCCAAGAACTCGTGAAATTCATCCCCTCTCCCTTTCCAAGCCAATGGCTTTGGGGAAACCTTCTCCTTATGCGTTCCCCTGTGAGCTCCTCCGTCATGCTACTTTCTCTCCAACCACAATTCCCTGCCCTCCACAGTGCTATCCACCTTACTCCCTAAACCATGTCTCCAAACTATCTGCCATCTTCAATGTTGCCTCTTTCCTTTTCTTGGGGAGTTTGTCCTGTCAGTCTTCAGCCCAATTTCTGGGGTATTTAGGATGATCTGATAGTTATCTCGTGGTGTTCAGGGTATGTGATGAGTCTAGAATCCTCCTCCTCCACTGCCATTTCTTCTCCTGGGGAATCCTTATTGTTATAATCCTGTTAAAACTCATATGGATTTTACAAAGTTAGTACACAAACCCAACACATAAAAATTAGCTCTGTTTCTATACAACAAAGAACAATTCCCAAAACAGAGACATCATACATTTAGAGCAACATCATCCCTCCCCCCAAAAAATGCTTCCAATTTAACATAATGGTAGAAGTCAAACCTGAAATGATGAAAAGTATAAAATATTGTGCAGGAATCGAAAGAAGGAATAAGTTGGAAACACATCCAAGTTCTTTCACTGGAATACCTGAAACACAATAAACTTGCCAAGATCTACAGAACAATGAAATCTCTACCAAAATTCCAATGCCATTTTTGAAGAAAGATCAAAATCCACCCTAATTTTACATGGATGTCATGGGATAAACCATACGCAAAATAATCTGGGAAATGAAGAGCACATTTCCTGATTTAAGGCATACAACAAGGGACAGTTATCAAAATAATGTCCTATACACATGAAGACAGGAGTAGAATAATGGAAAAGTGTAGGTGAGCTAGAGGTGTACGTCAATGTTAATGTGTATGACAGTGAACTGAAGATCTTGGTAAAATTCATATTCTGATGTGGATATTTGGGTGGGGTCTGAGTTTCCACATTTCACACGTGTGCAACTGATGTCAAACGTTAACACTGTATGCTCCAAACAGAATTCCAGGCCTGAATCACAGATGAAGGGTTTCACAAGTTTCCTACACAGGGGGAAGAAGATAGAGGTGAGCCTCGAGGCCTTCCCTCCCCTCACCCTTCTTTCAAGCCAACTCCACCCCTGCATGACAAACTTGACCAGTCACTCTTCTCTGGACCTCCTTTTATTTATCCTTCTTCAAATCACCATGCCAACATATTCGTGGAAATAGCTCCCTCTTTGACAAGTAATGCAGGTGCAATCTGCCTCTGGTTGCAAGGCTGGATTTCTTAGCTTGGACCCCACTGATTCCGTGGCCTTTATAAATATTAAGTTTTCCCTATATTTTTACTAATTCCCATGGCTTCAGTCTACAGGATCGCTTGTGTTTCAACTTAGGCTTCCTCCTAAAAACTGACTTTGCCTAAAATGGGCACAGATATAACACTTGGTTGCACTTTGTGGTATTCCCAGAAGAAGCCACTTATGGGGCGCCTGGGTGGCTCAGTCATTAAGCATCTGCCTTTGGCTCAGGTCATGATCCCGGGATCCTGGGATCAAGTCCCGCATCGGGCTCCCTGCTCCTTGGGAGCCTGCTTCTCCCTCTGCTTCTCTCTCTCTCATGAAGAAATAAAATAAAATAAAATATAAAAAAAAAAAAACTAGTTTTAACGTACATAGGGATATGCTTATCGGTACC